AATTAGATTCTTTTTCTGAAGTCTTTCTTCAAAACACGGCAAGAGAACTCTTCTGTCTTTCTCAAAGACCTTTCAAAACGCTTTCATTAATCGACTCTACGATGCTTGGAGACTCCTGTTCCTCAAATGCGCTTTCTGTTCTGATTGACAGCATAACGTCATCAACCAGCCACGGAAAGCTTAAGAACTGCTTTTTGAAGGGGTTCCATCCGGAACATTTTCTGCTGCGTCGGTCGATTGCTTGTTGCTGTACGCCACGTAGTACCAGGCCGAGGCCTTTCTTCGCATTTCTTCGGAAATAACATCTTCGGCTCCTCGAATATCTTCGTTCACTTCGAACTCTCTGAAGAACCTTCTCCGAAAGCTTTCGCGTATTTTAGTGAGAATTTGCCCAACTAGGTCAGCAATCTCGACTTTTTCTCTTCCAAGACGAGAGTGTACTTTAAGAAAAACAGCCCGAGAGCAGCTCGGCTTCTGTCTCAATTCCGTAGAGGTTCATCAGCGTTTGAAGCTGGTTGGAGTATTCCTCATACAGCTCTTTTGCTTCGTCTTGGTACCTCTGGAAATGGGGCACTAATAAAGCGTAGTCGATGTGTGGTTTCTTTCGAGGAACCTCTCTCCCTATACTGTCTTTAAATGCTCTGCACTCTCGATAAAGCTTTCCCAAAACCTTGTCTGAAGGGTAGCTGGGTTTGTCGGATTTCATCATGAAATCAGGAAACTTTAAGACTTTCGCCTCTTTGGGCATTTCGGGCCATTCCCCCGTCTTTGGAGCGTCAACTGCTAATGAATGAAGCTCAGCTAATTTAAGACATAGTGACGACTCGACCCCTCCCTCGTCACAATCGGCATGTGCTTTATGTGCGTTGTCAATCACACCAAGCTGGTCAAACCGGATATACTCGGCTACAAATTCGGTCATGTGATGTATTTGAATTGGTCCGTGGACTATTTTTTTAGGGGGTGCTTCGTAATTCATCGGTGGAAAAAGTTTTCTCTTTGGCAAAAGCTCTTTATTCCAGCAGACAAAGTACAGGTCGCCATCGAGATCTCCACCTGACAAGAAGAAAGTAATGATTACAATTTGAAGACATCCTTACCGGTGGCATTAACGCTTTCAGCCCTAAGATTTCCACAGTAATTCTCCTCACCGTCTACCAGACAATTCTTATGATGTTAGTTCGGAGAATGTGTTATTAGATCAACGGATAATCCCCTAATGAATATTGTTATTTATTCTCGTCACTTTTTTCTTGATATTGTCGTGAGGAATTCTGGCTTTGGTCACTTATGCGAATTAAAGGGTTTAGCATTAAAAAGCGTGCGCTTACAGAGTTCAGAAAAAGAGCACAGAAAGAGCGCCTTAAGAAAGATCATTAATATAAACTACACACCCAGAAGTGAATAGAGCTTTTCCCGCATGCTGATTGGTTAGTTCTGAAGTAAATAGCGGGAACTTTTCGCCAAAGAGTAGCCAAAGAGACAAAATCGCAAATCAAGCGTTTAATTTCCGACCATTAACTACTCTGCCGCCGAAAAGAAATAGACTTATAAAAGAACTTGATTGAATCCTTATGTGTTTTTTATATTCTACCCCTGAGTGGAGGTTAAGAGTACCTATTCAACCAAAAAAATTAAAGTTCCGTTTGAGCTAAATCCTTTGCGTGCACTGCTGGATATCTCCTCACGCATGCTCATATTAAGAGAAAATTTGCAAACACAAAGACACCGTCATTCCATGCTCTGTTCATGCGCAATGGCGACAGCGGTATTGGTGGTGAGTCGTGCGTAAGTCAAGAAGGAGAAAAATTGTGAATGACCAGTATTTTTTCGTCACTCCTTTGCCTTTGATGAAACCTGGTGATCAATACTAAAGGATCAGAAATAATTACTAACATCAGTAATACCTGCCATTTCACTCGGATGAGGGCGTGGTCCATGATTAGGAAACACGACGCAGTCCACCAAATGAACGAGTTGAGCCGCGTATACTGCGGTCAGCTGTCTGACATCTCCGGGATGGAGACAAGGATTTCTTGTTATCACTACCGGTCCTTTGAGGATATGTTTTTTTGATTTACTGAATTCTCCTTCGTGATCAGGGTCATTGGAAGTCGCTGAATACTGTGCAAATACCTGGAAAGATATTAGTTTGAGAAGAAATGTTAGAGTTCGTAGACAAACGTAATCTAAGCAGTAACGGCAAAAAAGAAAAAAATCCATTGAGCATCGAAAGGGATTCGGGACTACACTCGTTTTGCTTTACTTCGCAGTGTGATAGGTTTAGATAACTTGGTCACTCGCGTTTTTTTAAAAGGCTTCAATAAATTTGTTTGTTTTTGCCATGAGGTCTAGATAGATAGATAAATTTGTTTATCAACGATAAAATCCTTCAGGACAATCTACGAGTACAAAATATTTAATTCTGCCGGCTAAACTACCTAATAATTGATACCGTATTAACATCGTTAATTAATTAATAATGAACTAATAATTAATACAGTATCATAAGAATAAAAACCTATCATATCATTAAAGCCGCTTTTCTAGGATGCCGTGTCTCATTCAAAAGTTATAATGACGCACTTTAATTTTGAATTCGCGATAGGAAACAGTCGATCAGAATCCATGGGAAGGCTGTTCCAACTGTTCCACAACGAAGCACCCTTATAGGAAAAACTTATCCTCAAATAGTTGGTTTATTTCACTTTCTTCTGATTGGCCGTTGTAATTAAGATGGTTTTGGTCTTACGACACACAATTTATTTACACTGAGCATTAACAAAAGTAACAACAGCGAGAATAATCACAGATCAAACTATTTATCTTCTAACCTCGCCTGGCTTTAAGGTCCCCGTCTCATCCATGACACCTATCATAAGTCGAGCCTCCGCTGGTGGAAGGAGAATGCGGGCTCGGCTAAGCAGATTTTGCATTCGCTCTTTGTACAGTGCTACCAACAAAGACTTAAAAAGGGTTCAGTGGTCAGTTGCATTCCAGCTTGAGACAGGCTCATGTAAGCGATGCCAGTTTTGGCCCCCGAAGTCATCTGCTGAGAAGCCAGCTGTTCGTTTACAAGCATTCCTTAAAATCAAATATAATCAGGTTACTCACAATAAAGAGGCTAGAACAGAGAGTCTGGTAACAAGTCTTTCCCAGGTTCTTTGCTTCTCAAGTTTCAGAGGTGATGCTACCTCGGCTCCGCAGAATTGCTTTGGTAAGTGCTGAATTAGAGGAAAACTGGGTCTAGTGCACAAAGTCGAGGCTAATCATTAGCTTCTGGGAGAAAAAAAGATAAAAAAGCGAAATATTTAATGTTTAAACATTTCTTTTGTAATTACGTCCCACTGCACAATTAGGAACCATTTGTAGCAGGAAGACAAGCCAAGCAATGCAAGTCAAACCACAGAAGAAATTAAGTATGCTTCATGATTCAGATTTCGGCCTCGACCCGCTGTGCTCGACCCAGTTTCCTTATACTTCCTCACGTTCACACAGGGCGACGTCTATTTGAAACAGATCGATTATTTACGTTCTTACCTGCCAATCGGTCCAACATATCACGCTGTAATTTCATGAATACATCATCCGGAATACCGAGATTAGACAAAAGAATGATCAACTGGTGATTCAAGAAAACGGCCTGGGGACGAGAGGTCTGTAGCACTTCAATCCGTCGATGGGAGCTTTCAAACTTGCGCATGCTCGGGCGGAAGACCGCTATGTTGCCTGGAAGCCTGGGATCAAGTGTTAGAACTCCTTTACATCCAGCAAAGCGAACTTGGATCGCGGAAGGCAAAAAGTTCTTGGCTATCTTCTTGGCGACCTGCCAAGGAGAAGAAGTGCAACGGTTGTCGAGCGTGGAGAGACTAACTCAATGTTAATGACGCTGAGAAAGCACACAGTTGTTGGCAAGCTCAAGGAAAAAGGCTCTGTTAAGCGTCAAGTTGGTTGACATCATTCTTTAGCGTTGAGTAGTGCATCCTTACACAATATGACTTCACTCGCGATCAACGCGCGTGCGCAATACAGAGGAGTGACTTCTCGTCTACATAAAAACGATGACAGTAGCAGAAATCACCGGTTCTAAAAATAATATTTCTGACATTCTTGCTATGAATAGAAACAGCTATACTTGAAGCGATTGCATTAACTGAGTTTCAAGTCTTTTTTCCTATAACAATTACTGATAGTGTTTCTATTCTCTGAGTTCAAATCCTTACCTGGCTAGCAAGAGATTCCGAAATTCTACCCACTCCATCCGAGAAGCAGTAGCTACCATTTGTTGTTTCAATGTCTTCATCCATTTCCCAATTGGTCCCTTCACTGACGTCGATACCAACTGCATCCATGGATGTCGAAAAGCACTGACCCATTCGCGCCATGAATGTGGCAACACAACTAAGGATAGATGGGAAACTTGTTGAGAATTTGAAGGAAAATGATTGGCGCTCACTCGCCATGTGAGTTATCATTATCAGTATCTAAGCAACTGTGCACCTACCCCTCCCCTAGCACAACTCCAGTCAACTAGTAATTAGTTAAGGCTAGGGAAGGGGTAGGTGCGCAGATACTGACATTGATCCCCGTTTTCCATGACATGCACGAACCTCTCACTAGGAGTAACGCTGCTCCTTTTAGATTTAAATGGTCCATCACGTGTAACCTCCCCCAGCCCCAGCTTTAAGACAGGTTTTCCTGATTTCAATCGTTTTTAGATGTCCATCAAAACCTCACATGTCCATAAACGTTTTTTTCGATCTTAGTACCTTATTTTAGAGAAGTCTCCCATCCATTCTCTTATCTCCTCTGGCCGAGGACTGGGACGAACAAACCAGCAGCCGTGATTGCGCAACTGACTGTTGGAAGATCCTAAAAAAAAGGGAATCTATCCCCGCCTGCAATCACTCCACTGTCCAAGATCCGTTTCAAACGTTCTAAAATGTTATCAATGGCTCCAGCTGCGGACGAAAGCCTCGAGAAGTCTTCATCACGAAAGTTCACACACAAAAACTGGTTTGTGTTGTAATTGCGAAGGACACGATTTTGGACATGATCTCTGGTGTGTAGTAAAGGATTCTTGTGGGTGTAATCACCATCCGTTTTATCATGGCGCACTGATCGGGTAGCAGTTGCTTTGGGAATCCCCCTAGATTCAAATTTGTTTGGTTGAGCAAGGCTTCGAGTTGGGCCTCTGGATCGCAGAATAAATTCTGATGGAGAGCCGTGCCAAGTATTTCCAAGGCAGACAATGTTGTTTTTTCAGGTTTACTTCTAAGCAAAGTGGCGAACTTGGTCGTGATTCTACCCCTGGCGAATGGGAAGGAACTCAGAACACATTGCGCGGCGTATTTGACGACAAAAGGTAACTCCTTGGAAATGTTCACCTCTGGTAATCGTCTCACAGATTTGCGCATAGAAACAAAGAACGACTTCTTGTCATATCTAGCAATGCTTTTAAGTACCTCTTTGACATGTTGCCATTCACTCGCCTTAAAGGTAAAGTTGTAGGCGAAGCACAAACCAAAAGCTTCCCCGCTGTCTCCGATTTCTGTAACACGCTCCCAATTCACCACGTCGTCAATTCGCGCGAGATCCGAACTCGTCAAAAGAGCTTCAGTATCATCTTCGGACTTCACTTGAGTACTTTCGGCACTACTGCGGTTGACTCCGGAAGTCGTTTGATCATCTTCGGGATCGCTCGAGTACTCGCTGGAGAAGCCACGATCGTCGTCAAAATCGAAGTCGTAGTCGTTCTCATCGAAGTACCAATCTTCAAAGTCGTTTTCTTCGTCATCCTGCTCTTTCTTGATTAAATTCTTCGCTCTATAGATGCGTGGAGGATGCCTCAGGGAGATTATTACCTCTTGAGACGAAGATGAGCTCCGTTTGTCCACCAAAACAAATTCTCTCAGTTCGCTGTAACGTATTTGCAGCTTGTACAGATCTGCTTTCCATTTACTGAATGGATTAGCCATTGTAAAACAGATCAACAATGTTCGTAGATCATGCTGAAACGCAACGCGAATGTTTTCCATCCGCTTGGTGGAGTTGAAAGGCCAGTGAATACAGAAATGCGCTCGATTCCAAAAAAGTACCCCAGATTGATGGCTTCTGCTTTGATGACAAGCACCTGTTTGGAATACTTTTGACTCTGTGAGGCTCATCTCGACATAACCAGTGCTTCTCCGTTTCAGATCTATATGCTTTGGGACGCGAACACCACGACTGAACGATATGAGTGAAGAATTTTTCTTTTTGCGGAAAATTTGGTCTTCACAAGGCTCTAACTGTAGGCGAAGAATGACTGAGTGACTTTGGTCCGAAGTGCTCTCCTCCTGCTGAACTCTCAGCATCTTTAACAACTTCAGAGGTTTCTGGCGCAAGGACTTCACATCAAAATATTTCTCGAAGTATTCTGTTGGTTGGCTAACTTCCTTGTTGTTGTTTCTATCTGTGACAACATTGAAAATAGCGATTCGTACATTTGGAAC